CTGTGAGAAAGCCGAAGCTGGTATGCGTCAAGGTCACAAAAGTCCAGGATTGTGTTGAGAGCAGACAGAATAATGTGACAATTTTAATCAAGTATTCTTATGCCTATCTTGTTAAACTTGTTATGTATAATTAAAATTCTTAATTTACAATGGATAATAATGATTTTTGGTTTATGCCATTAAAAGAAGTATTTAAAGATATAAATTGTCTCAAATCGTTAAGAAAACAAATTGTTGTATTAACAAAAATGTTAAAAGAAGATGAACAAAGGTTAGATAACCTAGTTAAAATTTATAGTTCTACACCTGAAGATGCTCAACCAACAACTGATAAAATCTATTTCTAAAGATGTAATGACATGATTTATTCAATTACCATGATTAAGAAGTTAATAAAGAAAGTAGAAAAACAAGCATCTTATTTAAGCAGTAATGCTCACCTACCCACGGTGGGCACATGTTAATATGCTCACCGTTTATGTGGCATGCACACATTGGTGATATATTTTTTTAAACATATATCACCAATGTGTGCATGCCACATAAGCGGTGGACATATTAACATGTGCCCACCGTGGGTAAGGGAGCATTATCTCTATTTTAAGTTCTTAAGTCTTTTCAAACTAAAAATTCTTATATAAAACCTCAGTTCATTAGTATTAGACAATTATTTAATTGTGTAAGAACAAAGTCAAATAAGATAATCAAAGTTGGATAATGGAAAATGAATATCATATTATAGAAAATATAGAAAAACAAATAATTTACTTATCAGATATATTATTAGACAAGAACGTAGTAACAAAAGTAAAAAATAGAGGAAATTTAGACTTAGAAAAGAAAGAATGAATAAATAATGGTATACTAGAAAAATTAAATAGAAAAAAACATAATACATTAGAAAATACTGAATGGAGAACAACCAATTAAATAGAACAAACAAATTATAATTTTCAAGCACCCTTAGTTGAAATAAATCAAATAGAAAAGAGATTAGAAAAAATAAAAGAAGAAGATAGAAAAAGATAAGTTATATACACATAAACACAGTACAAATAGTATTACGATCAACATTTAGAGAAAGAATAAAGACTCTTGTAAATATAAAAGTTGAACATAATAGAATTATGCATAAAGAATCAAGAAAGTTATGAGAAATAGAAGGAGATTTAGGGTATGGAGTAATTAAGTTTAATATATCATTACAATTTCCTACACCATTGTCGGCCAAGAAAATTAATAACTGCATAGGAATAATGTATAATTTTTAAGAAAAATATTAATGAATCGGGAGATATACCTATGGTTGTTTGTTATAGAATAACATATGCATTAAGTAATAGTAGTTTAAGTATGAATTATCAAAATCAGAAAGACTATATACAAAAAAAAAAATATTCAATGAAACAAGTACTATTATTAAAAATAATAGAATCCAAAATGATTTTTTAAGAGAACATGGTAGACGATCATTTAGTAATCCTACAAACTTAGGAAAACTAACTTAAAAGAATTTATTAAAAATTCAAGAAATTGAAGAACCTCATAGTAGTAGTAGTTTATATAAAAGGGACATAGAAATAGAAAAATTAAATAAACAAGTAAATATGTTAAGCTCATTAGTAATAAATTTTAATAACAAAATATAGAATTTTTAATGATGGATAGGAGAGATATAAATATTGAATTATATGTAGAAAAAAAAATGAATTAAAGAAGTGGATTATTTAATAGAAAAATAATTCAATATAAATATATAGAAAAGGACGAAAAAAAATTAAAACAAATAGATTATAATATACAAAGTTATAACCAAAAATGTAAAAAGTTAATAAAAATAAGATTCCCCACAACAATAATATAAAGAATGGTATCAAAGCAAGAAAATAATTTAAAAGTAAAATGAGTATAAGAAAAATTTATTTTGATATAGGATGGGAAATACAAAATATAAAAACAGATATAATAAGATATACTTAGGAGTGAGCATCGGTGCGGTTCGGTCAAAAACCGCACCGCATCGAAAAAACCGAAAACCAAATTTTGAATTTTTTTTCACCGAACCGCACCGCTGTAGAAGGAAAAACACCGCACAGAACCGAAAATTTTCGGTTCGGTGCGGTTCGATTTTTCGGTTAACCGAAATAAAAAAATATAATCACCAATTAATGTTATGTAAGTAAAATTATAAAAAATAAGGTGATATTTTATTTAAAAAAAATAAAAAAGTGACATTTTATGACATTCGGTGCGGTTCGGTTAAAACCGCACCCTTTCGGACAGAAAACCGAACTGCACCGAAATACTTGCGGTTTTTCAAAACCCAAACCGCACCGATAACCGAACTTACCAAAAACCGCATCGAATAGCTCGGTTCGGTGCAGTTTTTCAGTTGCGGCTCAGTTTTGCTCACCCCTAGATATACTCGTTTACATGAAATTACGACTTTATAATTAATGATGATATAATGATGAAAAATGAATAAAAATTAAAAAAGATTAATAAAAAATACAAAAACAAGTAACATATAACAAAAATCTAACAAAATAAGTATACAAAATGCTACTGCCACACCATGGGGGCACTACCCATGTGGGTCGCATCGAATCTACGCCTATGGTACATACTTATGGTAGATAGGCATTTAATGATAGTTTGAATTTTATATTCTCCAGATTTTGCTAACGCTCGATTCGGGATAAAATAGCCAAGTTCACGGTCATTCTTTTAAGAAAAAATGAACCAATACTTAGGCTAAATAATTTCGATTTCGGAACTAAAAGTCGAACGGATCCTCCATGTATCTTAGACTTATAATTTATAAATCTATTTAAATGCTAGAAAAATAAATAGAACTATAGATAAATAAAAACTAACTATAAATGGAACTAAAGTCGAGCTATATATAATAGAAAGGCTCGGGGCGTTACAACGTCCCCAATGAAGTTTTCTAAATATATCAGACAAACTCTTCGTCTAAGTGGGTTTGATCCTGATCTGGTGATGATTCTCAACAAAAATGTTGGATCCCATTTTTTCTCCATGGGCAGTGGAGTTCACGCAGGTCATGGGATCTCGGGGGCACGTCATGGCTGAAACTCTTGAATCGATAACTAGGAAAGGAGGATTCAAGTCTCGATCAACATCACCTGCTCTCCTACAATCAAAAACACAGAAAACACACGAAAACGGAGAAAACAAAAGAAAGCATAAAAAAAAAAACTAAAATAAAGGAAAACACGCAACAACCTACAAAACGAACTAAAATCCAAAGAAAATGTCTAAAATTAGGGAAAAAGAAATAGTAAAAAAACACAAAAAATACAACAAAAAGCAGACAAACACGCAGGAATAATTTGATTCAGGAGTCTCAATGGTGGTGGAAGACATTTCATTGCTGCTTTTGTATGTTTGTTCTTCGGCTTTTGTTGTTGATTTGTTTGGTGTTTAGGTGCTGAT